TTTTTTTTAATCTTTTAGTATCAATCCAAGCGAAATCATCAATCAATTTAAAATTCCCTTGATATGTGATTGATTTATTGTCTGTTGAATTCACTGCACAGTCTCTATCTCTGTCTCTCTCACTCTCCCTCTGAGCAAGAGCTTAGGCTATACACCAATTTGTGGAGAAGCATTTGTATGAGAGTTTAAAATTGATAAAAATAAAAATATTAATATATATAAATATAAATGTAGCTGAAAGACATCACCTAAGTCATCTTACGTGAATTCTATTATAATTACCACAATAATAATAATAATAATAATTTAGTATTTTCAAAAGTAATATCTATATACATATATAGATAACTCAATAGTTAGATATAACTTATGATAAATATACAGAATGAGAGCTATATGCCCTTGACCTTGTACCAGAGCCCAAGTTAAGAGGATATCCAACAGGCCTATCCTAAGCTGCCCTAAATATATATTTCAAGCTCTTAATCTGCATCAACTTAGGCGCTTTATATATAATCTTATTTAGTTAGCTGTCAATAAAGAAATTCCCGTTAATAGGCTTACCGCTTAAAAACGTAAATACATTATGAAACATTAACTAAAAAAAAGAAATGGATTACTGATATATAAATTACAAATTTTTAATGCAATTTGAAGTCTACATCAATCAGAGATCTCTCCTTGCCTTGTAAATAGAAGCTCATCAATAAGAGAAATGTAGTTAAATTGATTGATCAAATAGCTATGCCCATTAGCAGGGCATAGGTATATATATATACATATATATGTATATATATTGGTATTGGAAATGGCATCGTGGAAATGGCGCTCGGCTTTTGACACCTACGCGGCGACGTTGTCAATGTCACTTGTCATGGCCAAATTGGCGCATCTCATGAGCGATGATTGCCTGGCGGATATTATGGATCACCAGTGTGGGCGATGCACCCAGAGGCATCCAGAGATATCCAGGGCAGCCTGGGACAACCAGAGGCAACGGCAGCTGGGCAACTCTGACTCGAACGGCATGTTAAGTGGCAGAAGTCAAACGTGACAAGATTTAATTTTGACTTTGATGAATGTACATTGATTTTCCCTCATATTCGTGATGTCCATTTTTTTTTCTATATGCTATCGTTGTTGTTGTTGTTGCGCTCTGTGTGCAGCGGCGCAGCGCTAAAAACTTTTACATGCTTAAATTTTTATTAAATTGATGGATCTCGTAGACGAAATTAGCCATGCCGCATGCTCAGCATGAATATCGTTTCTGTGCTCAACATTTATTTAATTTCAGCTATATATATTCATAATATTT